AGAGAAAAAAGATGAGGATGGAGAGAGAGAAAGAAAGAAAGAAAAAGAACAAAAGAGAGAGAAGAAAAGAAGAAATGAAATTAATTTACCCTCATTTAATCCATACAGAGAGAAAAAGATGAGGATGGAGAGGAGAGAAAAGAAAGAAAGAAAGAGAGAGAGAGAGAGAGAAAGAAGAGAGAACAAAAAGAGAGAGACAGAGAGATAAATTTATTTAATCCATACAGAAAGAGAGAAATAAGAGAGAAAGCGGATAGAGAGAAGAAAATGATAAATGGAAAAGAGAAAAAGAAAGAGGGAAAAGTAAGAGAAGAAAGGAGGAGAGTGAGACGAAAGAGACAGAGAGAGAAAAAAGAGAGAGAGGGAAAAAAGAGAGAAAGAGAAGAGAGAGACAGAAACAGAGATGAATTTATGCCTTATTTAATCTATAAAGGGAGGAGAGAAGAGAGCAAGTGAATAATGAAAGAACATAAAGGGAAAAATAAGAGATCTAGAAAGGAGAGAAGAGAGAAAGAGAGAAGAAGAGAGAGGGGGGGATTGAGAGAAGAAAGAAAAAAAGAGAGAGAAGGAAAAATTAGAGAGAAAGAGAAGAGAGAGAGAAAAACAGAGATGAATTTATGCCTTTATTTAATCCATATAAGGGAGAGGAGAGAAAGAGAGAAGAGAGAGAGAGAGGATTGAGAATAATGAGAGAGAACATAGAAGAGAAGAGAGACAGAGAGAGAAACATAGATGAATTTATGCCTCATCTAATCCATACAGAGAGAGAGAGAGAGAGAGAGCGCGAGAGAGAGAGAGAGAGAGAAAGAGGAGAGAGAATAAAGCCAGAGAAAGATAAGAAAGAGAAGAGAGAAGAAAGTGGGAATGAGAAGAGAGAGAGAGAGAGAGAGAGAGAAGAAAAATATAGAAAAGAGAGAGAAGAATGAGAGATGAGAGAGAAAGCGAAAGAAGTCAAAGAGAGAGAACATAGAGAGAAACACAGATTGATTTATGCCTCATTAAATCCATAAAGAGAGAAAGAGGAGAGAGAGAGAAGAGAGAAGAAAGAGATAATTAGAAAAGAGAAAAAGGAAGAGGGAAAATAAAAGAAGAAAGGAGGAGTGTGAGAAGAAAGACAGAAGAGAGAGAGATAGAGGAACGAGAGAGAGAGAAGAAAGAGAGATAAACAGATGTATCTACGTCTCATTTAATCCATACAGAAAGAGAGAAAGAGGAGAGAGAGAGAGAGAGAGAGAACAAAAAGAGAGAATAAAGAGAGAGAATAAAAAGAGAGAGAGATGAATTTATGCCTCATCTAATCCATACAGAGAGAAGAGAGAGAGAAGAGAGAGAGAGAGAAAGAGAGAGAGAGAGAGAGAGAGAGAACAAAAGAGAGAATAAAGAGAGAGAAGAGAGATGAAGAAAATCCATACAGAGAAGAGAGAAAGAAAGAGAGAGAGAGAGAGAGAAGAGAGAGAGAGAGAGAGAGAACAAAAAAGAGAAATAAAGAAAAGAAAAGAGAAGATGAATTTATGATCTAATCCATACAGAGAGAAGAGAGAAAAGGAGAAGAAGAGAGAGAGACAAAAGAGAGAGAGAGAGAGAACAAAAAGAGAGAATAAAGAGAGAGAATAAAAAGAGAGAGATGAATTTATGCCTCATCTAATCCATACAGTGAGAAGAGAGAAAGGAGAGAAGAGAGAGAGAGAGAGAAAGAGAGAGGAGAGAGAGAGAGAGAACAAAAAGAGAGAATAAAGAGAGAGAATAAAAGAGAGAAAATTTATGAAGAGAAGAGAAAAGGAGAGAAGAGAAGAGAGAGAAAGAGGAGAGAGATGAATTTATGCCTCATCTAATCCATACAGAGAGAAGAGAGAAAGGAGAGAAGAGAGAGAGAGAGAGAAAGAGAGAGAGAGAGAGAGAGAGAACAAAAAGAGAGAATAAAGAGAGAGAATAAAAAGAGAGAGATGAATTTATGCCTCATCTAATCCATACAGAGAGAAGAGAGAAAGGAGAGAGAGAGAGAGAGAGAGAAAGAGAGAGAAGAAAAGAGAGAACAAAAAGAGAGAATAAAGAGAGAGAATAAAAAGAGAGAGATGAATTTATGCCTCATCTAATCCATACAGAGAGAAGAGAGAAAGAGAGAGAAGAGAGAGAGAGAGAGAGAGAGAGAAAAGAGAGAGAGAGAGAGAGAACAAAAAGAGAGAATAAATTTAGAGATCTAATAAAAGAGAGAGAGAAAGAATTTAAGAGAGAGAGAATCCAAACAGAGAGAAGAGAGAAAGGAGAGAAGAGAGAGAGAGAGAGAATTTATGCCTCATCTAATCCATACAGAGAGAGAGAAAGAAGAGAAGAGAGAGAGAGAAGAAAAAGAGGAGAAGAAAGAGAGAGAATAAAAAAGAGAGAATAAAGAGAGAGAATAAAAAGAGAGAGAGATGAATTTATGCCTCATCTAATCCATACAGAGAGAAGAGAGAAAGGAGAGAAGAGAGAAAGGAGAGAGAGAGAGAGAGAGAGAGAGGAGAGAGAGAACAAAAAGAGAGAATAAAGAGAGAGAATAAAAAGAGAGAGATGAATTTATGCCTCATCTAATCCATACAGTGAAAGAGAGATAGAAAAGAAAGAGAAAAAAGAGAAAGAAAGAAGTGATAGAGAGAGAGAGGGGAGAAAGAGAAACAGAGATGAATTTATGCCTTATTTAATCCATAGTGAGGGGGAGAGAGAAAAGAAAGGAAGAGAGAATAAATAAGGAGAAGGAAAGAAAGAAGGAGGGAGGAAATTATGCCCTTCCCTGTGGTGTTTGGGTAAACAGAAAAAATAGAAACCTAACCGTAGCCAACTCGTGTCGTCTTCTATCAAGACAAATGTTAGGATTTCGTTTTGCAAAACAAGTCATTAAATGTTTATCTTATCAAAATATCAATCTACTCCTGGGATGTTTTTAAAATATCTCTGTTCACAAATGAATTACTTCCTTTCCCAATCCAGCATACAAGACTGCAAAAAAGAAAACAATTAAATTCATAACCTTCTATTATTTGAAATATATAAGACATAAAATTAACCTAAAGTAAAATAATATAAATATTAATTATATCAGTGAAAAAAAAAAAAATTCTACTCACTTTCGTTTTTTAGAAATTAAATGTCGTCACTTAACATCTTCCGGAATTATTCAAGACATTTTAGTTCACCTCATATATATATAAAATGATCGTCTCTAAAATTAAAAAAATAAATGAAAAACTAACAATATTTTTTATTTTTGTTTATAAATACTTCTGTCTATATTTCTGAGATGAAGTATTATAATTATTTATATTGTTCCGACTCTTGTCCTCATCCTCGTTGCCATTTCACGACGTTTAGACCGTTGTACGCCCCGGCCTTCTTCTATATCTGTCTATATATCTGAGATGAGGTATTGTAATTATTTACATTGTTCCGACTTTTGTCCTCATCTTCGTTGCCATATTCACGACATTTAGACCGTTGTACGCTACGGCCTT